AAGAAGAGTTGATGCTTTTGAGTTGTGGTGCTGGTGAAGAATGCTGAAAGTAGCATGGACTGCTAAAAGAACTAACAGATCTGTCCTGGAGGAAGTGTGGCCGAGATGCTCCTTGGAAGTGAGGATGGCCAGACTTCGTCTCACCTACTTTGGTCATGTTGTCAGAGGAGACCATTCCCTGGAGAAGGATGTCATGCTTGTTAAGGTGGAGGGTCCACGAAAGAGGGGAAGGCCTTCAACGAGATGGATTGACATGGTGGCTGTGACAATGGGCTCAAGTATAGCAAGGATCATGGAGCTGGCATGGGATCTGGTGGTGTTTCGTTCTGCTGTGCATGACTCGATGGCACCTAACGACAACAATAACAACATATATATATACACATACGTAAGGAAGGTTGGGCAATCCTACTTCTGTAGTGATACTGCCTCGGAAACCCAAGGAGGGGTCGCTATGAGTCGGGGCCGACTCGACATATACATACACATGAATGTCCTGGGAAACTATGGCTTTCTGCTAAAACATAATCCTGCATCTAGCTAATTGGTGTCTGGACTTGAACCAGTAGCCTGTGGTGGTTATGTTTATGGTTATGTACTGTGGTGGTTATGTGTCTGTGCCAACTTGGCTGGGCCTGGTTAAGTGTCTGGGCAGCTGGTGGTAGTTACTCCCCATGATGAGACTGGCAAACAACTCCATGGTGGGATCTACCACAAGCAGCTGAGTAGGAAATGTGGTCTGCTTCCTATACATAAGCAGAAGCCTTGGGTGGGGAATGGTCTCTAGCTTATGGCACACTTGGACCTTGCATGTAGCCGTGTCATTGTTCAGCAGCTGCCATGCTCTGCCGACCTCAGGACTTAAATGGACTTGAATTAATGGCCTGTCATGTGGTTGGTAACATTGGGATTGTGCCTTTTTATTTGCCAACCTTGGGCTTATTAGCCTCAGCAGCCAGTAGCTGCCCGAGTGAAGAAAAGCCTCTAGCTCCAGCGGGCCGGGAGCAGGAGGCAGAGCTGAAGCCTAAGGTTGAGGGGCTTTCACCCAGCCCCTAGAGCCTGGTACTTTGAACTTGGACTTAAAGCCTCCTAATTGTTTGTTCAGCCATCCCATTTGTGGTAATTCATCAGCGCGGCACTAGCTAACCAGAACACCTGCTGATCTTGGGATTATTTCCTTTGTATGTGGGAGTCAACAATCTGCCATTTTACCTCCTGATCTGGGATTCACCATCCTCTGAAGCTAGCAACCTGCTATATTGCCTGCTCATCTTGGATTCATCAGTCGTTGCAGCTGCTTGAGTCAGAAGCCTCCAGCTTGACATCTGACCCATGGACTTGGGACTTTTCAGTCTCTACAACTGCATGAGCCATTTCTTTGAGATAATTTTCTATGTATATTTAGCATCACTGGTTTTTCTTCTATAGAAAACCCAGCCTGAAACAGTACATATGCTTAGACTTGAAGCCATTGGTTTAGAATTGGGTTTGAGTTTAAATTTGTTAGCTACTTGACCTATTTGCTACAGCAAAACAGTTGAAAAGCAGTGATAGTAAGTAGGGTCAGTGGTAGCTGACAGAACAGTGTCAGTGAGAAATCCACATCTTGGTAGAGTCTAGGACTATTATAGAGGTAGATGGGCTTACACATTACCCAACCTTGATAGCTGCACAGTATAGCTATATACTATGACTATTATTTATTGTTCATGATTATCTAAAGTCATCACTCAAATGTTAATTACACTCAATACATCCTGATTAAGAAGGTGCATATAGTGTATAATACACTTATGAAAAATTCCAAGAAAAAGAATATGAAAGGCTTAATTGCTTAAACAGTGTTAAGCATCTGTAAGCTTAAAAATTCACCCAGGTGGAAAGCTTCATTCCTAATCATGATTATTTAGGTAACAGGGTGCTAAAGTGGTTGGTTTGATCAAGAATGTACTTGATTCCAAGATTCTCTGCAAAAGCCAAATAATCAAAAATAGTTGGATTCAGTTCAGTTCTAGCTGATAACTGCAGTCTCAATCTCATATTAAAAACAAAGACTTCAACAGAAAAAAAGCTTCTCAACAATTTTCATATATAAACTTTATTTCATTTGACATCATACAAAAATTTAAACTTAAAGAAGAAAATGAATATGCACCTTTTACAAGTCAAAGAAAAGCAGAAGTTTCAGCATTTGAATTGATCTGCAAAAAAACAAATATATTAGAGGTACAAACTGTGCTACAGCAGGTCTAAAAGTTGTACACAGTCCTTTTGAAAAAGTTAAAACTGCTTTCATTACTTTTTATATTTAAATTTACAGGCACTGACCAATTTACAAATATTTACATAAATCAAAAGCAACCTTAAACATTGTAGCCTTTTTAGCAGCCACCACTATGTGGAAAAGAAATACTAAAAAAGTTATCTTTACAAACATTAAGCTCTTATTTATAATAATTTTGTTATGTCTTATTTAAAACATTTCATAGTGGCTTACTGCCTAAAAAGTCCAGTTTAGATTATCATCCTATAATTGTACACAGGAAAAAAATCTGGTACTATAAATAGGATATAATCTTAACTTTGACCTTTCCGTTTCTGTTGCTTCATGTCACAGGAAAATAAAAGCAGAAAAACACAAAGTAAAGCAAAAGTGCACATTGCACTAAGCTATTATAAAGCACAGGGAACTTAATCTTTTCAGACTGCTTACATCGAACTGATTCTTTAATACAATTCACTAACTGCTGCACAATACGAGTTAGTGCTTATATTATTACAGTGCAAAACATTTTATTGTTTCAACACAAAATTTAAAGCAATCTCAAGAGTACATCAAAAGCCTGTGAGGTATGAATGAAATGCTAATAGACACACTCAAAGCCTACATCTATCCCAGTGAGTCAAGTGAAGACTTAAGGCAATTGTCCAGTATTGCATGCTTCTGCAATGATTTCACCAAAATGGGGATGAAATCAAGGATTCCTTTTCGCTTCAAGTAACTGAGTAACTGACTTGAATCTTCACTTTACTAGAACAGACTTAGACAACAAATCATCAACTTTAAGCATGTATGAATCAGACCCTTTCTAAAATTCCACTAATCTCTTCAGTGTTAGCATTGGTACAACTAAATGAAGTTATATTGAAAACATTTTATTTGTTCAGGTGATTCCTACCAAAGCATTTTATCTGATCTCCTGATGGCGCATGTCACAATATTACCAATCATAAATGTAAACATTTTCAAAAATACATTTTTAAATGAAAGCATTTTATTAGGAAATGTCATAATAAAATATATAATCTTTATGTAAGTATGTCCTTTTAAAAATAAAACATGAAAAGAAGAAGAATTTAAAAGAAACCATGATAGAGGTAAACAGAATGCATTATGTTACTATTGTTCTTTATTTCTCAGAAGAATTTAGGAAACAGAGGCCAGTTATCTTTTCAGGATAGCAGCTCTTAAAGGTAGTATGCTATTCAAATCTCTCTTGTTTTTCAATCTGTGCCATGACTAGGAGAGAAAGAAAAATTATTCTTAAAACCTAAAATATATGCAGAACAAAAGACTGAAAGGGGAGCTACTAGAATGTTAGCAGTGGTTCTCTCTAGGTGGTAAAATGTTGGGTCTCTACCAGGTATTTCAATTGAAAAATATTATTTAAAAGGAGAGAGTAAATCTTTAATAAAGCACATTATGTATGCCCCTGAAAAGATGAGTAAACAGAATTTACAAGAAACTGGAGTTCTTGTCTGCAAGCCAAAAATCCAGCTCACTACCTGGTAGTTGTAGATCTTTGTACTTTGTTCTCACTTCAGTTGTTCAACTGACTAAAAGTATTGATTTTATAACTAGACAATCCTAAATGAAAGCTCACCCATCAATAAGAACAGCAACATAGTAATGCTATTTTGGAGTTCTCAGATTTTAATCTGATAGGTGAAAATATCATCTCTTAGATATTTGTTTTAAAGTGAAAATAATTCTGCAGATCAAATTTTCTATTTTGGTTGACAAACTTGAGGCCTAACTGAAGGACAGCATGTAACATAATATACTTACATATTTAATTTTCATCAAATAAAAGTCTAAGTGTATGTCTAAGTAATGAAAAAAAGCTTCCAGAATTATCTTTGTCCTTTTAAAAATAATCTGATCTCTTTATAATTCTCTGATCTTTTTATTCTATGAAGCTTTCCCTCCTATATATACTATATAACTCATAGTACCTATTTCTATCAATGTGTTTCCACACTGTATTGTGGAATCCCTTGAAGACAGAGACCACTTTTAGCAAAACACTGATGAATAAATTCTTACTGAGGACTAGAGGCCTAAGGAACAAACTTAAATTTATAAAAAAATAATGTGTATACACACACATTATTTTAACTTTTTAAAATAAAAATGTACATAAAATGGCACTCTAGTATCTTTTTAGGAGCTCTGGTGGCATAGTGCCTAAGGCATTTGATGGCTAACCAGAAGGCTGACAGTTCAAACCCACAAGCCACTCCTCGGAAGGAAGGTTGGGCAATCTACTTCCGTAGTGATACCGCCTTGGAAACCCAAAGAGGGGTGCCTATGAGTCGGATCTGACTCGACGGCAGTTAGTCTAAGTGAGTATCTTACATGCAGAAGAAAAAACACAGAATAAAAAATAGCTTTCTTCTAAAGCTATAGTAAGTTCCCCAGTATTTTAAGGAGGGAAAGGAATCTATTAAGTTTTGTTAACTCATTTTAGAGTCTAAACTCACTATAAAAATGCTTATTTCCATGAAAAGTGAAAGCTATGTGAATGAAAACAGAGCCAGAGCTCTCTGAAGAAAAAAGTATATATAAATTCTAGTAATAAATTCCTTATTGTGTTACATTAACGGTTCACAACATAGGAACCAAGACAATTCTGTCTTGTTGCATATGTTCTTCTAATTTTAAAGTATACTTGTCCACTAAGTTTTTAATCATCTTTCACTTTAGACACCTAAGAAAAGTATTACTAGAGCTAATCTGATGAACTGTTTACCTTTAAAAATTGATCCTTGATCATATCAAACTTCTGCTTTTCATGCACAGCTCTAGCTGTGTTTGTTCCATCAAAAGGTTCTGAAACATTAAATGCATATATAAAGAAGAAATTACTAAAATGAGAACTTAAGTTTCCTTATTAAGTTAAACTGTAAGAAATTATTGATATTTGACAGCTTTTGACCTACAAATACTAGATTTATGCATCTGGAATATAGTCTAATAGAGCTATGGAAGGTCTAATAAAGTAAATAGGATTCAAGTGAGAGAATGAGTAAAAAGGAAGTTCACAGCCTAAGTATGTTAAACCTAAATCATAAGTGAATTAAGATTTCTGAAGACAGAGACAAAGGGTCAAAGACCTATCCTTGTGAAAATAAAAATAACTTGAAGAATAAAGAGTTATCAAAAAGAATAAAGTAATACACACACACACACACCCAAGAGAGATAGTCAATGTCAAATATCCCAAAAAGATAAAGACCAAAGAAATAAAAAGATCACTGATATGTCGGGAGGAAGAACAACACTAACCTTTGAATGTAAACGTTCAACACGGGTAAGAATGGAAGACGATACACAGAATTCAGGTATGAGTGGATGGTTTAGCAAAAGATACAGTCATAATAGTAATTTATATGAGAAATTTGGCAGTGAAAGAAGAGGAAAAACCAAACAAAGTTTAGAGGAAACAAGACAAAGGAGGGATTCTTCCCTTTTTTGGAGAATGTGTATGTGTTCCCAACATATCCACCCTCCTACATCTACCTCTGCACTACTCATTCTCCACCCATAAGATAGAAGGAGTCCACAGAGACAGAAAGGAAGAAGAGGAAGGAAACTGAAAGTTACAGTGAGAAAAGATGGATTACTGAAAGCGTAAGGACTGAGAGTGGATGGCTGAAATAATGACAGTAGTAGGTAAAAATTACTGGAGTTTAAGAATTTTGATAATGAAAAGGGGAAAAAAAAACAGTACTTAGAGGAACTTGTAGGGTCAAGTACTTGATCCTACATATGATCAAAGGCTAAAAAGGAAAAATTGGAGAGAAAGACACTAAAGTTGCTAGAAAAAGGAAAGGTAACTATGAGAAAAGAACCTGATAAAATTTAAGAAACCTATGGGAGAAGATAACCTTTCATTTGTTATGTAATCTAAGCAGGCTCATAATTTAAAACACTGCTTTGGTTTATTTTGTATTTTTGTTTAGAAAGGGCTATTTTAAAAAATAAGTTATTGTCACAGTACAGTTATTTTTCATAAAATAAAACCGTATGTGAAACTGTATCTGATTTTATCACACACAGTACAACAGTCAATGTTTAATATTCAAAAGAACACAAGTAACTAAAATAATACACGCCCACTGTGCAAGTCAGCAAACAAAACACCTAAGCAGGATTTAATTATTCATAAACTTTGAAGGATATATTGCATATAGTCCAAATGTTTTAAATCTGATGTTTTCTACAAATGCTGACTCTCAATTCTTTGTTCTTTTTTACCTCAAGGTTTACAAACCTTTAAACTGGCATCTGTGAGAACCATTTTAAATATTGTCTCTTGTATCAGTTATAAATCAGTTTCCCAAAGACTCAAAGGAAATTTCTCAAGATATATTGAACAGGAGGTTAACTAATTATAGAGAACAGAATATGTCCAGATCACTTTATTTTTTAAAGATGAAATCAAGTTATATTCACAAAAACCCACCTTGCAATATGTATCAATATGTTCAGTGTAAAAGAATTCATTTTATTGCAATATAAGAATCATTAATGAGGATTATATTTTCCTCATCTGTAAATCATGAAATTTTCAATCAACCACATGTATGAGAGATACATTTATTGTTCAAATCTTACCAACTAGCAAGATTAAATGCTCAAATTCATGTTGTTTTTTCTCACTAAAAATTTTAAAATTAAAAAGAAACTAAAAACTTTATAACCATAAATTTATAACTTTTAGTTGAAATTACTTCAGGAATTCTCCCAGGACTATATTATGACGAGAACTGGATGGAACACAGAACGGTCTCAAAAAAGCTACCTTCTATACAGATGTATTTATTTCTCCATTCAATACCAAGAGGTCTCGGAATGGCTTTGGCTTCATGAACTGAAATCATCTGACTGTCCCAACTGTAAGGAAAAAAAATCATGTCAACTATTTTCATAATTTAGTCTTTTATTACTTTTATTAGATCAGTAATAATGCTCACCCTGATTTTCGTATACAATATTGAAACTTCCCTCAAACCTCAGCACCACAATCCTCCTCTCTTCTGCTACTGTTGCTGTGTGCCAATATTATGACTCATATTGACCTTACAGGACTGAGGAGAGCTTTCCATAGGGTTTCCAAGGCTATAAACTTTACAAAAGCATACTGCCACACCGTTCTCCCATGGAGCAGCTGGTGGGCTCAACTCACCGACCTTTCAGTTAGCAGCTAAGCTCTTAACCACGGCACCACCATAGCTCTTCCCCTTCTACTCTACTTCACTTTCCCATAGCACTTATCATCGCCTGACAATCTTTTTAGTATGTTATTGTTTAGTGGGTCCCTTCCCAAGTAGGATGGAATCTTCAAGATGCTGAGAATTTTATCTATTTTTTCACTGTTCATCTAACTGCTTAGTATATACTTGGGTGTTGACACGTATTTAATTAAATTAATGAAATAATACAAAAATAAGAAAATGCAAGTAAGCTAAAAATATAAAAACTATGAGCTCTGGTAGCGTAGTGACTAAAGGACTTGACTGCTAACCAGAAGGCTGGCGGTTCAAACCCACCAGCCACTCCTCGGAAGGAGGATGGAGCAATCTACTTCCGTAGTGATACTGCCTTGGAAACCCAAGGAGGGGTCACTATGAATCGGGTCCGACTCGATGGCACACAACAACAACAACATGTTCACTATGAACACTATAGTTAATAATTTTGTATTTGTTAAGAGAGGTAATTTTCCTGTGCTATTTTCTGATACCATTTCATAATTTTTGTTCAGATAGGTCTCTACTTGTATTATTTTGGAAAAATTTTTTGAATATTCTAATAGAAGATGCTGTTTTAGGAAAACAGTATCAATATTCTGAAAATATACTGTTATTGCTGTATGTCAGATGTGGCTGTGATTACTGAAATTTTATTCAATTAAAACAATTTGATCAGCATGCCTGGAAATAGATTAAATTGTCCAGTGCTTGCATATAGCTAACCTTACATTCTGTTTTTTAAAGTTTTTTAAATTTTACATCTCTAATAGTTATTTTAAGGACCACTAGTGGCACAAGGGTTAAGTGCTCAGCTGCTAATCAAAAGGCTGGTGGTTTGAACTCATTCAGTGGCTCCACAGGAAAAACACTTGCCAATCAGCTCCTATAAAGATTACAGCTTAGAAAACCCTATGGGGCAGTTCTACTCTATCACTCTGCGTCACCACACATTGAAATAGAGTACAATAGCATCAACAACAATAGTTACTACAAGTATTTTCTTTCTGTAAGAAACATTGTAAAATATATGACCACTCAACTTGTATACAAGAGAAAAATGAGTTTGATGAAAAGCGACAATAATTTTTCAGCAGTATTTATCTTTCTTCACTATTTCAGCAAGCAGAGAAAGATTATGGGTTGGACTTTTCAGCTCCAACACTCATTCTACTTTTCTTCTATCAGAGAATACATAAGAAAATATAATCATGGTTCAATATGGTATTTGTTTCTGGAAAATTAATAATGTCTACATTAAGTATGTCAGTAAATATTTGCATCTTGTGAAGTTTGATAATCATAAATGATCCTGGTAGTATGAGTTTCTATTTTTTCTGATCAAGAATACAATTTGGAAATACTTGTAAAAACAGCTTTAAATCCTTTAAAAATACAGGCAGTCCCCCAGGTTACAATCAAGATTCATTTCTAACTATGTCTTTAAGTAGAATTTGTAGGTGAGTCAGAACAGGTGCATATAGTTCTTATTTAGCCTTCCCAGGAGCTCTGGTAGCGTAGTGCCTAAGACATTTGATTGCTTATCAGAAGGCTGGCAGTTCAAACCCACCAGCCACCCCTCAGAAGGAAGACTGGGCAATCTACTTCTGTAGAGATACTGCCTCGGAAACCCAAGGAGGGGTCACTATGAGTTGGAACCTACTTGACAGCACTGAGTTTGGTTTTTGGTTTTTAGTGCACCTGGAGCAAGTGAAGGAGACTGTGTTTGAAGAATATGTTTCAAGTAGGGATTGGTTCAATAGTTTCAAAATGAGGACAAATTTACTTAACATTAAAGGGCAAGTAAGAACTGTCCCTAAGTTGGACCTTCATAATGCAGGGAATGCCTGTATCAGAATTTATGTTTGTTTGTTTGTTTTTAAATCAGGCTCTCAAATAGAAATACAGTACTTAGTATTAGTTATGGTTATTGTTGTTGTTAGGTGCCACTGAGTCAGTTCCAACTCACAGCAACTCCACGTACAACAGAACAAACGCTGCTCAGTCCTGCACCATCCTCACAATACTAAGTATGTCTGAGCCCACTGTTGCAGCCACTGTGTCAATCCACCTCATTGGGAGTAAACTTCTGCTTAAATAAGCATAATGTCTTTCTCCAGGGATTGTTCTGAATAATATGTTCAAAGTAAGTGAAATGAAGTCCTGCTATTCTTGCTCCTAAGAAGCATGCCGGCTGTACTTCCTTGGGACAGATTTGTTTGTTCTTCTGGAAGTCCAAAGCATATTCAATATTCTTCACTACCAACATAATCCAAATGCATCAATTCTTCTTCTGTCTTCTTTTTTCATTGTCCAGCTTTTGTACGCAATAAGATGTTTAAATTTCTCACGTATTCTAGCTCTATCAGTATGGACTCCAAACAGAAAAGGAGCTCTATTACTCCAGGTGTATTTCCAGAATTTTCTTAAAATATGTCAGGGGATAGTTATATAACCAAAATTCTGAACCAAACAAGATTGTAGCAGAATTACATTTTATGCCATTTCACTTTATACCAGGTAAGACAAATTTCACCAATGGAATCAATTTTTTTTTCCCTGATACTATTTGTTTCTAATGTCAACTTATAAGACAACTGAATCTGCAGAATTAAAATTGGAAACATTATTTATGAAAGTGTAGATTTTTTTTCTTCCAGAGGAGTCTAGAAGATTAAGATACTGTATTTTGCTGTCAAATTAGAACTTTTATTTCCTTAATCAAAGGAACTCTATCCTCATCACTATAATTCTATTAAATCCAATCCTAAATTTACATTACCTGCCAGTATTTGATTCTACACTCGGTCACAGAAACACTACATGACATACCTATATTCATTTTATTTATCATCCCTAAGAGATATTGTTTAAGCTTCAACATATAATCAACCCAAATAATCCAATTATTTAAAATGACTATATCATTGGAAATACTTCCAAGACCAAAAGAATCTGAATCACTACCATTTATATTGATCCAATATATTGCCATTTTCAAAAAAGTTTTAAATATTTCTAAATTGTTTAGTATTTGAAATAATTAAAACATGATAAATAACTTATACTTTGTACTTAGAGATGAATTTAAATGATAATTTAGAAATACTTTTGCTAAATATTAAATAAAATACACAAGCCCTTAATTAAGTCTTTTATCATACTAATGTATTTTCTGCAACAATTTGCTTGCCATGTAAAAATCTGTTAGTGTCACTCAATAATTAAAATGTTGACTAAACCTGAGTCTAAGAAGAAGGATTTTTCAGCAAAGAATAGAAGAATAGATATGGGGCTTAATTTCTAATATTTAAAATAAGTTTGATAGTCTATGATAATTTTTTTTAATATAAAAATGAGATCATTGTCTTTAGGTGTCTGCTTCTTTCTTCAGTAATGATAATAATAAGCTGGTATTCATCTAATTGTCTTCTAGCAATGCTTTTTGTGACCAACAAAATTAGTCAAATTAAGGCAACAAATGTGGATAGTTTTGTTATATTAAGGCCTGGGAAGCAAGTAGTGAGAAAATTTTACTCTAATCCTTAAGTTTTCTTTTGTTTTGACGGGCTCCCGTTCTCCTGCCTGGTCCCATAAATGCTGTGTCCATCAGGGCTGTCTCTTTCAATCTTCTTCTAATGCTAGAGGACCTGCCCTGGGCTTCCACACTCTAAATATTACTTTTTCACATCATTTTCTCCAGCTCTGACTCTGACTTTTCCTTCTACTATGCCCCAGGCCAATATCACAACCATTGTAAACTGCCACCTGAATGTACCAACTGACATACCTGTGCCCACATAGCTAAAACTGAATTTAATACATTCTGTCCATGGTCAAAGGAACCCTGATAGTGCAGTGGTTAAGCTGCCAGCTGCTAACCAAAGGTGGGAGGTTCAATCCTACCAGCTGCTCTGTGGGAGAAAAATGTGGCAATCTGCTTCTATGGAGATTAAATCCTATGAGGGGCAGAACTACACAAAGCAATAGGTTTGGTCCATAGTCAATTATTAAAATCACTCCCATGCACATGCTCTCAACTGTCTTAGCCCCTTGCACCAGTCTAGTACAATCTTATCCCATGCAGTTGAACATGACTGGACAAAAATACGCAGTAATACTGACTGATCTCACTTTAAATTCATGATCACTTAGCTCAAAAGGACCCTAAATGCTACTACCCACCAATCGTACTGTATCTCCACAGTTAATTCACTTTTTTACTCTCTTATGTGAAAATTCATACTTTCTCCTCACTTCTAAATTTTCAGCAACTCCTTCCTGACAATCATTGCCAGCTGATGTCCATGCTTCCTAGAGCAATTAGCTCCCACTACAGAGATCCACCTACCTACATTTTGCTTTTTCTTGTTATTAATGAATTGTCTGTATTCCTATTCTACTTGTGAGATTATACCTGTCATGACTCAAACAAGTATATTGTACCAGCAATTTACTATGTCTCTCTCTGGTGTGAATTTTGCCATCAGGGTAAATGGATATTTCTCGTCTCTAAAAACAAAAACTCAATCCCATTTAACCTTCCAGCTTTTACCCCATTTTTCTGCTCCCCTTTACAAATAAACTCCTCAGAGAAGTATATACATTATATTTAATTCTTTTCCTCCTTTTCTCTCTTTAACC